AGAAAAGCATGCTTACACTAGTCCTAATTCGAAAGCATTATTTTCACTGATCAATAGCAAAATGAAAGCTCGTGCGAACCTTCCAGTACTTCAGGATGAAAGTGGAAACCTTCATACTGAGAATAATCCCAAGGAAGAGGCGTTAGTAAGGTTCTTTGTCTCGGTTTTCACATCATACTCAAATATACTAGAACAGTAGCCCTGCGTCTAATGATTCCCCTGAGCTCACGGCACCTGCATTTATCTATCCTAGCGATGTACTGCGTATTTTGAAAGCACTCAAGTGCTCAACTTCCGCTACAATTGATGGGATTCCGCAGATTGTATACAAGAGATGTGCGCACTCCCTGTACAGACCACTAACAATGATCTTCAATGCCTCGCTGCTGTTCTCTGAAGTTCCTTCACTGTGGAAGGAATCCATTGTAACTGCTATCCCAAAAACCAGTGATGCTATTCTACTGTCATCTTTTCGTCCAATTAGCATTACCCCGCCTCCAGTCAAAGTACTAGAGACGATCCTTCGTGATAAAATCATTGAATGGCTTGATAAAGAAAATTTGATTCCGATAGAGCAGCATGGTTCGTGGGTGGGGCCTCAACGGTCACAGAACTTGCGGATTGTCTTTTCGACTGGAATTATGCTGTTAATAATGGGAAAACAGTGGATGTCATTTTTTTGACTTGTCAAAAGCATTTGATAGAGTTGTTCACCACAAACTGATTTCGAAGCTTCAGCAGCTAGGTATTGAGACATTATTGTTACGATGGATCTGCTCTTATCTATCAAATAGGACAATGTATGTCAAGGTTGGGAATTGCTTCTCCGCCCCTTACTCGTGTACAAGCGGCGTTCCCCAGGGAGGAGTGTTGTCGCCACTACTATTTCTAGTGTATACTCACGATCTACCGGAGAAACTGAAAACTCATCCACTGGTTGAAGTACGCATGTATGCTGATGACATTAAGGTCTATGGCATCTATAATGAAGAAAACCAAGATGAGGTATATTGTGCTCTTTCCCAATCCGTTGTCAACATGATGGAGTGGGCCTTGGCTTGGGAATATACCTGTCAATCTGTCCAAAACTACTGTCCTCCACATTGGCAAGGCGAAATACAGGGAATATACGTTTGGCAGCTATGTTCTCAACACATCACATGAAGTGCGTGATCTTGGAGTTCTCGTGAACTCAGACCTTACGTTCGAGCCACATATAAGAAATGTAGTTCGTAAAGCGTTCTCTGTACTTTTTGCAATCTGTAGAAATATACAGAGTAGTGACTGTTCTATCTTGCTGAAATTGTACAAAACATATGTCATCCCTGTCATAGAGTACGCATCACAGGTGTGGAGCCCAAGTAGCTCCAAACGCAAATTGAAAAGGTACAGCAAGTATTCACAAGGATTTTGGTA